ATCCTCACTATTGATTGGTACTCCTCAGCGATCACTAACGACAATAAAATTGCCAAATTGTCAATTAGTGTGTCTTTGTTATCCAAAATGTCGCTTTCTCGTACCTCATGTTGGCTTCTATCTTTCCAGGAAAACAGTTAATTAAGAGCAATTACGTTTTTGAATTTAAATTTGCATTCAAACCATGCTGATGAATAGCCGGCTATCAAGTGGGTCAAGGCGAGTTGCAGCCGTAAGGCGCACGCATCAGACAGTATGATCGACAGTATGATCTTATATCTCACATGCCTGCATCTGGCGTGACCACATCAAAACTCTATGCTGTGCCTATTATTCACAGATCACACACCTGCCATCGACTTTTCGGCTCATTGCAGCGAAGCATAATCGGATGAATTCGTTGCCCAAGGGAAATAACAGTTAATAAGAGAATGAGGCGCAGCGCTTGAGCTCGCATTCTACCATGCAAGCAATCTAATAACCAACTGAGCCATGCCACAAATGGACCGTTAGCGAATTACCACTTAGACATTGTGCTGCACAAATTACACACAGTATCACCAAATCGCCCTTCAAACGAAACGATCTGTCCGTCTATGCAGCCATGCCGGAAGCCATGGATTGAATATCCGTATTGGACGTAAAAATTTCATTCAAACCTGTTGGACTCACACATTCAGACCATGTACGAAACCGAAAGATGATCCGATATGATATGTCTTAGGTATGAATTTTTTCTGCTCAATCTGCCGCTTCATCCCCGGAAAGAAAAGATCTCGATTTGTGTCTGTAGCATTGAACTGGATTAGGTTTCACACCGTCAAGATATTTATTGTTTAGCTAATTTCATATTTCTTGCAGAACAGCTCTGAATATCAATCTTGTTTGGTATATTCTCCAAATTTGTTCTTATCGATTTGATTTTTGCTGGATTTGCTTTTCCCATTGTTTCTTGACAACAAGCAAAGTGTAGGTGCAAACGTCGATGACGTGATTTAAAAAAAATTTACATTTGGAATAATTAAGCCGAGGCATGAACACGATGGACTTAATCTCTCACATAACAGAACAAGGTTTAATTCTCAGGCTATTGTTTTAGCCATAGCATGGACTTGATAAAAAAATTATTTTACTCACGGACATGACTAACACACAACACAATAGCAAGGGTGG